CCAAGGATCAACAGCTGTAGAAACGTGCGTACGCCAGCCATGAAGTTGGCGTGAGGCACCGCACATTTCCACGGCCATTTCACTCTTGATACATCTGGACTTTGCCGTGGAAAAGGACGTACACCATGTTTTTTTGCGTATGCACCCTTTGTACATGAGGCCCCTGATCTTTACTCTAAGGAACATCATAGAACAGTGTATTGAGTGGAATGCCCCCTTGTACGTCAACTTCAATGATTTTGAGAAGGCGTTTGATAGTGTTCACCGTGAGAGCCTATGGAAGATCGTACGGACCTATGGAATACCACTCAAAAGGGTAAACATCATAAGGACATTCTATGAACACTTTGAACGCAGTTTGATTCTAGATAACAGTCTGCCAGAGTCGTTTCCTGTAAAGTGTGGTGTTAGACAAGGTTGCATTCTCTCACCAATCCTGTTCTCAATCATTATAGACTGGGTGATGTGTCAAACAACATCAGATCGCCCCCGTGGAATCCAATGGACCCCATTCGCATTTATGGAAGACCTTGACTTTGCAGACGATCTGGCAGTCATGTCATACACACGTGTCCACCTCCAGGAAAAATCTGACCGGCTTAGCAATTATGCTAAACGAACTGGTCTGCACATAAACCAGAAAAAGACTCAGGTGATGTGCATCAACACCCCAACAGGACCTCCTATTACCATCGACAGAGGAGCGCTGAAATGTGTTGAATTTTCTATATACCTCGGAAGTCATATAAGCAGCGAAAGTGGAACACAAAAAGACATCATGGCATGCCTTAACAAAGCAAGAGGTGCTTTTAGCCAACTTCATAACATCAGGAAGTCTAAACAGTATAGCCTCAGAACTAAGATGAGGATCTACAACAGTAATGTTAAGGCTGTCCTGCTGTATGGCTATGAGTGCTGGAGAGTAACAAAAACTGACATGAAGAAGGTTGATGTCTTCCATAATAGCTGCCTGCGAAATGTTTGTAACATCTTCTGGCCAAACAGGATCCCCAACGAGGAACTGTACAAGAGGACAGGAAGCACCCTTGAGATAAAGAAAAGCAGGTTAAGATGGCTCGGTCATGTGTTGAGGATGCCCAGTGAAAGGTTGCCAAAAGTTGCCTTGAGGTGGACCTCGATTGGAAAGAGAAGGTAAGGCAGACCAAAGAACACCTGGCAAAGGACAGTGATGATGGAGCTTAAGGAGATGGGTCTCTCATGGGACGAAGCACAGGCCAAAGCACGAGACAGGGTTCAGTGGCCATGTATGATTGCGGCCTTATGCCCCAACCGGGACGAAGGGGATAAGTAAGTAAGTAAGTAAGTAATAATTCTAAAATATCCTGCTCTCACAACAGAAAGAAGTATTAGCCAAAGAATTAAGAATATTTAAGTATTAAAAGAATTATACACAAAAAATCCTTTGAGACTTGTTACCAAAGTCTGAGCAGTGTGTTAATCATTAGACTATTACGCCTACACAAAGAGTGACCTTTCCCCCTGATTTTTATTTGCACTTTTAGCGTAATGTAACTGTAAGGTTGTGTATGGTCTATAGGAGGATAGCACAGCGCATTTGAAAACCAAACTGGAGTCGTTTCAAGCACAAATCTCAATGATGATTAAAATGGCCGGCCACATCAAGGTAGCCCATTGCACAGAGCTCTTGTACTGCACTCAAGCATATTTCCACAGATGAGCCATAGTGCACTGTTTAGTGCAGTTATTGCTTTTAGATAAAATCTGTTTTTTAACCCATTTGTCCTTGATTTAACTGACCTGTATCTCCTGCCTGAGGGCAGCAGTTCAAACAGGTGGTGTCCTCATAGCTGTCAAGTCTCCCGTTTTGGCCGGGAAACTACCGTATTTTACCCCTCTTTCCTGACGACCTCCTGTATTAGTATTTTCCTGAAAATCTCCTGTATTATAATATAATTAAAAAAAAAAAACATTCCTCTGCCTCTCCAAACTGAACTCTGTCACTAGTCTCACGAGAACTGCCACCTACAGTAGCCTGGGTCGACAGCAGGTCTGGTTGACAAGTGGTTATTTTAGATTTCCTGTACACCTGTCTTAAAACGTAAGGGATACTGGAGCTTGGTTGGGGTGGTGGGATGGCTCGCGGCGGGCGCCGGAAAATTTCCATTATTTTCAAATCCAAAACTTGACAAGTATGGGTGTCCTGGGTCGGTTGCAGATGGATGAGGAAAAGTCCCAGATCTGCCAGTTAAAGCTGTGTGACAGAAATATGTTTTAGATAACCTGAAAGAAGCGGTGCGCGAAATGTGTAAATATGAACTATGCTGCTTTTCAGATAAGCTGACCTTCTTCCTGAGTCAGAGCTGTCGGGCTAACTGCAGAGTGACAGGTGACGTCTACGGTTAACAGTGTAATATATGATTCAAAAATCACCAGAAAACCTTCAACCTTAGATCTTACACGATATGCTGCTCTCACAACAGATAGACGTAATAGCAAAAGAATTAAGAATATTAAATTAATAAAAGAATTATATACCAAAAAAAGTCCTTTGAGACTTGTTACCAAAGTCTGAGCAGTGTGATAATCATTAGAATATCACACGTACACAAAGAGTGAACTTTTATGTTTGCACTTTTTTAGTGTAATGTAACTGTAAGGCTGTATATGGTCTACAGTAGGTTTGCCTTTTTGTTTCACAGAAACCAATCAGATGAGCAGGATCATTTCTTCTTTCCTTTTTGGCTAAACTAGAAGTGTGTGTCACTGTTAACTGCACAGGGCAGGGATTAAACTATAGAGATAAAAAAAAGAAGCAAAACTCCTCCCTTTCTGCACAAAGAACAGGAAGAAGGGACAAGAGGTCAGTAGTAGATGTGTGTGTCACGGTTAACTGCACAGGGCATGGACAAAACTGTAGGGCTGAAAAAACAACAACTCCTCCCTCTCAGCACAGAAAACAGGAAGAAGGGACAAGAAGTCAGTACCCAACGCTACTGGTGGTAATGTATTTGAAAACAAACCAAAAAAGCAAGACAATCCAGTAAATGGGACTTTTGTTGATAGAACAGGGAATTTATGAGTGTTTGGAGCCAACAGTGCTGATCCTGAACACTGGCTGAGCAAATACGACTGAAATTGTGAAAGTGAAAGTAAGTCAACTGTCTGACAGCTGCAGGAGAAACCAACAGAATGGCCACCAACGCATCACAGTCTGAGGTGGACTGTACCTGCCCTGTGTGCTGTGATATATTTACGGATCCTGTTATCTTGTTGTGCGGTCACAGCTTCTGTAAGGACTGTCTTCAGCAGTGGTGGAGAGAGAGTAGACTCCAGACATGCCCTGTTTGTAAGGAAATATTTCCGATGGCTCAGCCTCCACGAAATCTGCGGCTGAGAAACCTGTCTGACACCTTGAGACGAGAGAGGAGTCAGAGAGCGAACTCAGGATCTGAGGAGATGTGCAGTCTGCACGGTGAGAGGCTGAAGCTCTTCTGTCAGGATGATCAACAGCTCATCTGTGTGATTTGTAGGGATTCACAAAAACACAAGAAACACAACTTTGACCCCATCAACGAAGCAGCAGAAGCCCTTAGGGTAAGAACATATTTATGGTTTAAAGCAGCTTCCGTTTTCGTTGATTATAGCGCCCCTTTTGGTTGAAGCGGCATGACACCCACAGCCTGGTGTCGTAAAATTCCAACTGCAGCCTTCAGCTTCATTCGTAAAATCTCGACTGCAACCGGCAATTACCGCATGCATTTGTTTTGGAGAGCGAGAGGAAAATCATAAATGTTCTGGTGTAGCTCTGAATTTCTTATAAACTGAGGACAACTGCCTGCTGTATATTTGTGTTCATGGTCACAGTCACAGATAATTTTGTGCCATTTGTTATAACGTCACTAGACAAAAGCAGTTCACATCAGCTAACGTTACATTTAGCTTGCTTATAACTTCCATGTCGTCATATATTGAAGTGAAACAACGTCTAACAAGTTGCGGTATATTCTCTAAATAAAAACAAAAATGACATACCTGTCGATTAAGAAAAGGGCCAACTCGGGATCAGTTTTAAACCTTTCAAATCTCTCAGCTCTCTCCACTTGGCGATTGCCCGACCAGGGTTTACGCGCGTTTGGGCTCGAGCCCTATCACTGTCCTGTTTAGCCTTCTTCTGTTCTTCTGTTCTTTTTCTTTTAGATGGTGCTCCTTAGTTATCCGCCATGACATCAAAAGTACAACCAAGTCCTTATAGACACATCTGGTAAAAATGTTATGTGTTCAGCAATGCCCGTTGTGTACCGCTTACTCGAAGAACACTCTCTGTAAACACAGCTCTTCTTCTTCTCTCAATTTATTAGAGGATCACAAACAACTTCCAGGTGCATACCACCACCTACTGTACAAGAGTGTGCAATGTGTCCGTAATCATTCATTACTCCCTACTACATGTCATTTAGCCTGTTTCTTAAATCCTACTCGTAAACACGGCTCCTTCTTCTTCTGTGGTTTCATGGCTGCGGGCCACTGTGGGCGTGCAGACTTACTTCCGCTTCCCGGTGCCGTATTCTGGTTTGCTGACTTACGATGTGTCCGACCCAAGCCAGGCTACGCTAAATAGCCATATAGAGAAAGGCTTTTTTGTCGCTGTTGGGTTCAAATAAATATGCGGATCTTCAAGGGGGGTGATACGAACTAGGGACAGTTTTATAAATGGTAAAAAGTTCCGCACAGCTGCTTTAATAAAAATAACTGAATTGTCTGGGTGGGTTGGTGGTTTCCATAATTTAATTAAGCAATATCACATGAGAGGGAGTGATGTTATACTCGTATATCGTCACGGCTGTGATTTGGTCATAGGCAGGAGGCAGAAGGCGGAAGCATCATCCATTAATTCCTGATAATGGACACCTCGTCGGGCATTAACCCTTACTTAATCATATTGCACATAGCAGGTAATGTGTGTTGTGAAACTAATCCACTGTTTACTATACATTAAACATATGCGCATTTATTTGCAGGCTGAACTCAAGCTTAAGACACTGCATTTAAAAACCAAACTGGGATCGTTTCAAGCACACAAACTCAACTATGACAAAATGGCCAGCCACATCAAGGTAGGTGACAAACTAAATGGTTTTAACACAATCAGCAACATGTGTTGTCTTCCATCATCAAAAAGATGTCTCTCCTCAGCTCCAGGCTCAGCAGACTGAGAAGACGATCAAAGAGGAGTTTCTGAAGCTTTACCAGTTCCTGCGAGCAGAGGAGGCTGCCAGGATTGATGCAGTGAGGAAAGAGGCGACGCTCAAGAGTGAAGCGATGAACATCGAGATTGTTAATCTGACTGCAGAGATCTCCTCGCTTGAAGACAGAATCAGAACCATAGAGAGGGAGATGATGGCTGAGGACATCTCATTTATGCTGGTACTCAGTGACTTCCTGTGTTAATGAATATTCTGACCTTAATATTGAATATTTAACTAAACTGGAGGTATTCATTCATCACCCTGTTTTCTCTTTATTTGACAGAATGTCAGATCCACAATGAAGCGGTAAGTTGCTTCCTGTACGCTCTCTATTGAAGCACAGCTGAGTGATAGATAGATGAGGGCTGATGGTAGTTTGAGTCTCATCCACTCTGTGGGGAAAAGATGTGGATGCATCTCATTAAAAAGTTTCAGGGAGAGGCGAGCTTGATCGAAGGTGGGGAAGTCCAATGTGGGCGTATTTAAAACATTTGACTGGTAATCTTTGGCTGCCTAATATTCCTGCAGATCCCAGTACAACCTGCCAGACCCAGAGACTCCATCAGGAGCCCTGATGGACGAGGCCAAACACCTGGGGAACCTGCTGTTCACAGTCTGGAGGAAGATGAAGGACATAATCCAATACAGTAAGCAAAGTGTTTCTGCCTGACTTTATTTCACATTTCAATCTGCAGTGTGCAGATAACTGATCAACTTAATCACCAAACCACACCAGGCTGTTCTGTGAATACACTGTAGTAACTTCAGTAAACCTTTAATATAACAAACCTTTTGTTTCTATGTGTTCTTCTCTAAAGCTCCTGTAACTCTGGACCCCAACACTGGCGGCTCTATATTAACTATATCAGAGCACATGACCCGTTTGACAGGGAGCAACAAGAGTCATCCGCTTCCTAAAAACCCAGAGAGGCTGCAGAACTCAGACGTTCTCGGCTCTGAAGGCTTTAGCTCTGGAAAACACAGCTGGGATGTGGAGGTGAGGGATTGGTGGGCTGTTGGTGTCGTTGCTAGAACCAAGAATCCAAAAGGGTTCTGGGGCATCGGTACACACGGTGTCGACGTTCTGTTAGAACATATTCAAGAGGGTAATGTCGGAATTGATTTAGAGGGTTCAATGCCCCAAAAGATCAGAGTGCATCTAGATTATGACCAAGGGATTCTATCATTTTTTGACCTTGATAGGAAAAGACCTGTACACACCATCAAATACACTTTCACAGAAACAGTCTCTCCTTATTTTCATGGGAATGTGAAAATCCTCCCAGCTGTAGTGTCAGTGAAGATAAGACAGTAGGTGTATAATGTTTTCAGTGGCTGTGGAAGAGATTTTTTAAGTTTCTAAAAAATAACCCTGATGTCACTGGGTTTACCTCAGCTTGGAATTTCAATTTTTCATTTTTGACAGCCTGCATTATGGGAAATGTAGGATCCACTGCAGGGTTTTAGAGGGAAGACTAAATATATGAATCTGTTAAATGTTTGAGTTTTTGAAATCATGTCATTTTATGATGCACTCTGAACTACTACTTTAATCATGTAAATATTTGTGATCAGACATTAAAATAATAAAGACAGTTTTGCTGTTTGTGAACTGAGGGTCTAAAGACAGACAGTGTACAAACTGAAACAGAAATCAGTCAGATAAGAAGGATTATTTCTCTCCATCTCTCTGTATGGAATTATGACACTAAATCATTGTAGAGTCAGTTTATTATAATTCACTGAATGCTGTAAGTAGATTGTAGAGCTGAATATATGAATTTGTTGAAAGTTTGAGTTTTTGAAATCAATTCTAGTTTAATTTTATGATGAACTCTGAATGCATCCAGTGTTATGATTAAATTTCATATATCAGCTGTTTTTAATGCTGATATATGAAACAGACTGTTAGAGTTTTATCATGTAAATATTTTGAGATTAGACTCATTAAAATAATAAACACAATTGTAATGTTTCATCAATGTTTCCTCATTTTTGCAGAGTTCTCCTTTGTCTGAACTGAGGGTCTAAAGATAGAAGCTGTACAGACTGAAACCAGTCAGATAACAAGGATTATTTGCTAACATTTTAGATAACGACCTGCATCATACAGTGTAATTCTTGTCCATATACAAGGTAATTATTTGTACTAACAGTGCGCCAGTCACCAGTACATACTGATACATACATGTAGGAACAAGGGAAAGAATATGAAATTAGGGAACAAGAGAGTAAGAGTCTGGAACAACAGATAAACAAGGATAAATTCCTCATATATATATATAGCTATGTATATATGTGTGTGTGTGTGTGTGTGTGTGTGTGTATACTTACCAGCCACTTAAGCCCCTTTTACACTGCCAGATTTTCTGCGAATGTTGGGCTGTTTTGCTGGCAAGCTGTGAGCGTTTAGACACACAGAGCTGGATTGGCGAGTTGATCCGAGGTGCCCAATTTTCCGCCTCGTAGGGTAGTCATATTGGCAGAACCTGTTTGGTTTAAAAAGAACGAGGCGTCCTTCCGCCACGGGAGGGGCTGTTGAAGACTTGTGGAAGGAGCTGTTGATGACTGAAGGACGGGCCAACTTACGAGAGAATTGCCGAAGGACTGACCAGCCGCGGCTTCCCTCGGAGCAAGGCGCAAGTCATTAGTCATACGTCACTATTTACATCACTCGCTGAGCTACACATTTTCTTACTTGCTCACGCCCCCCATTGCCCTGAAAAAGGCGCATTCTGTATAAACAAAAGTAGGCAGGCGGCATTTTGCTGCACTCCCCAATTTTGTTTTTATACTGCCAATGCTGAAAGAAGACTGATTGGGCTTTCCTGCAAATTTGCACAATTCCTATCTAAAAGGGCTTTTATTGGGTACACCTTGCTGTTGCATGGTACTATTGGTAGACCTGTCTTAATTCTTGGTGGCATAGATTCAACAAGGTGCTGGAAACTTTCCCCAGAGATTTTGACTTGACCAAGATTGACATGACGTACGTCACGTCGGTACAAATCTCTAATTTATAGAAAATATAATTAGAATTTAATGAATATATAAGTGTGTAT